ATTAAAGAGTCACATAAATTTATACTTATATATGTAAAGTATTAAATGTAATAAATATGATAGTAAATTGCAATGAATACGTTTCTTATTTCCTTATTTTGAAATTTTATTTTAAAAAATACTTAATACTTACAGTTTGATATTTAATATTTTTTAATTAACCCGTGTAATACACGGGGTCTCACACATAGTTTTGCTAATAATGTTAATAATTTTTTCTACAAACATGATTATAACCAACAATTTTTTAAAAAACAATTTTTTTTAATCTAAAGCAACTTCTTATAAAAACCAACCAACAATTTTTTAAATCTAAACAAACAAACACCAATCTTAAATTAAAACCAACTTCTAGGTACAATGTTTTATGCATAAAACTAACAATCGTTTCTTAGAAAAAACACAAAAGAAAGTAAGAAATATTCGGAAAAGCTTATTCGACAATCACTCTTTGAAAAAAAAAAGATAAAAACTAAGATATAAAGTCATACAAATGTACCAAACAAAAATATACAATATAATGTATGTTGTAATAGTATCTATGAAATCCTCGTTTTAAACAATGTATGATATGTCATTAGCATCCATCTACCAAAAACAACATCAAAAAACAACATCAGTAAACAAAAATCAAAATCAATAAACATCCACCATTAATTATAATAAAAAAGACATAAACTTATACTCCAAATCAGATACAAGAAACATATAACATTAAAGCAATCAGAAAACAACATCAGTATAAAATCCAAAATCAGAATTCTCATAAATTTGGCCTAAGTAAAATTCTACATCAAAATTCAAACTCATAATCCTCTATTTCCTATAACCAATACCTGGTATATTCAATTCAGAAATCAAAACCTAAGCATGTTCAATGAAAATCTCGACAGGAGCTCACAAATGCAGATAAGAAAGTTCAAAATTGGATCATAATCAAGTGAGAACATGATTGAGGCCCCAATGAAGTCACAAAAGCGATGTTGATGTATAAAATCGATGTCAAAAAATCATACCTGAGATGAAAGCGCCGATTGGTGTAGCCGGAGGTGAAGGTGCCGCCGTATGGTGTAACTAACTGGAGCTGTAGCAGGTGATGGTTGTGCGACACGTGAGACGATGAAGCACTGGCCTATAATTTCTTCCTGTTATGACTTGTGGTGTTTAATAAAAAAAAGATGTAGGGCACATTTATTTTATTTTTATTAGATATCAAAATCATTTTATTTGGTAAATTCTTCTAAAAATATATCCATTTGTTAATAGTTTTTTCAAAAACATCAATTCGATAAAAACTCAATCTCCACTCCCTTTTTGTCAAGTAAAAACTCCCTTTTTGTCAAGTAAAAAGAGTGGGACCTAAATGTATTAACCAAAAAACCGTTTAAAAAAGGGATAAAAGGATAATGACTTAAGAGGGTAACGAACTTTTAATTTTGTTCACATTTAGTCACTAATTTTTTTTCGTGCTTGATTTACCCCTAAATTATTTGAAATTGTTCGCATTTTACCCTTATGACCGGTTACAACCGATCATAAGGGTAAAATGTGAACATTTCAAATAATTCACGGGTAAATCAATTAAGCATGAAAAAAAGTTCAGTGACTGAATATGAACTAGTTGAAAGTTTGTTACCCTTTCAAGTCATTATCCATTTTTGTAATAATCTCTTAGTTTATTTTGCTTATTGGCAGCAATTACTTAGATTAATAATTTTGATTTCGGTAACTACGTTTTGTTTTGTGTTGTGTTTGTAAAGAGTATTACAGAATAAAATGCATATCACATAACCATGTTGTAGTTCATTGCTTTAATCCTAGTCAATGAGATAAACTTTTAACTAGAGTTTCTTTATTCGCGTATAATTTAAACGCCAACCCACAAAGAATAAATAATCAATAGAGTTTCACAAAGGCAAAAAGACACATATACGAGCAATAAAACAAAAAATAGATCGAAAATCAAAAGGATCTTGGTGAGAAGGTACATATAGAACCAACATACAAATAGAAAATGTAGATACAAGTAATAACTAGGAAAAAAATATCGACAAAACAAGTTCAACGTAAAAAGAATGAACACTAAGCAAAATGCACAAACAATGTAAAGGCAACTAGCACCTAGACTACTCATGTACTACTCCACGACCTTGATCTTATACATCCACACTCTCAAATCAAAGCTCATGTATTTGTAAAGAGAATGACCTCATTCATATTTAACACTGCTCTTCACGCTTATTTATCATATGTTCTCTCGTACTCGCACGATCTACAACGACCGTCTTCACCATCTGAAGTGAAAACTATTGCCTATGTCCTAAGTATATTTCTAAAACCACAACAATATTTGTTTCTTCAATTTCTATGTGATTAAAGTCGTTTCTATTGTATTTCTAAGTGTTGTTTCTAATACCTTACATAATAAATGTATACCACATGATTACTACAACATCCTCACTCTTGTGACCTTCATATTCAGTTTGTGTTCATTCTTAATAACATTTAGAACCATTTACAGGATAATGGATTGAAAAAGGGTAACAAACTTTCAATTTTGTTCACATTTAGTCATTAAACTTTTTTTGTGCTTGATTTACCCATAAATTATTTGAAACTGTTCATATTTTACCCTTATGACCGGTTATAACCGGTCATAAGGGTAACATGTGAATAATTTCATATAATTCAGGAGTAAATCAAGCATGAAAAAAATCCAGTGACTAAATGTGAATAAAGTTGAAAGTTCATTACCCTCTCAAATCACTACCCCTTTAAAAAATACTTGAAAATTTAAAGTTTGTTTCATATATAGAACTTGAGCAGAGTCACAATCCACTGCAACATATTCCATCTCGATTTTAAATACAACAATCGATTTTCGTCTGTTTGAAATGTAAGACATGATATTTTGTACATCAAGTTGTTTGTTTAATGACTTGTAGTGTGATTGTTTTTTGTTTTTTACTCGAAACAAACACAAAGACAAACTAAAAAGGGGTGCCTATTGTAAATCAATACAATTTCCATAAAAAACATCACATTCTTTGTCTTAAATGTTAAGTATTTGTAGGCATAGGAGTATCAACGAGTTTCATATTTTCAGTATTGGTTTTTCTGAATATATATTTGTAATACTTTTGATTCATAAAAAATACACATTTCAACCTTTTTAGTAGTAGTTCAAAATTTGTATTGAGCTCCCAATCATGTTCAAATTAAGTTTATTTTAAAAAATTTCAACAAGTAAAACATTTATGCAAATGAAATGATAGGTGGATCATTTCATTGGTTCCAGGGTACTTTATTAGTTAAATTTTTTTTAATATACTCCATCTTACATACTACATTTCAGTTTATTTTTGACTTTTCTCATTAGAAGTTAATTTTACTTTCCAGCTTTTTCTAGATATTACATTTAATCTTGGGTTATTGACATAGAAGAACAATGATGTTTTCCATTTGGTTTTAAAAGGTCATTCAACTAATTTTCGTACCTCTGACCCCACTAAAGTGACAAATTACCTGCCATAATAAGGTTTTCTTCATTTTATTACCGGTTACCCGGTTGGTCAACGATAGTCAAATGTGACAGGTCTATGGTATCCAGCTGGTGTCTAGTCAACTTACTACATAAGCTTTGTAAGGGTTCAATATATCCACTCTCACTATTTCCTTACCCTACGACGAACACCAATCCTTTCGACCATGTCCTCCTCCTCCGAATCCTATAACACCATCGCCATTTACCGGATTGAATTGAATCCTCCCTGCTTGTGCCGCAATCAGCGTGTGTCGAAGCTCAGAGAAGCTTGGAAGCCTAACAACCCAGCTCGTCGCTACTACAATTGCACAAAATCAATGGTAAGGTATCCTTCGTTACAAGTGATAACTTTTAAACCTAAAGTTTTGATTTTTGTACTGCAAACCCCTTATTTTGATCGACAAAAAACCCCATTTACAACGAGAAAACCCTAAATTTTGAACAATAAAACCCTTTTTCTGTTGTGTGGCTTTCTTTTGTAGATATCAAACGATAGTTTCAACTTCTTCCAGTGGCTTGATCCAGCATTACCAAAACACTACAAGGATACGTTATGGAACATGAAAGTTAGGAGCGACGACCTTTTGGTTAGGAATGGTCAAGTTGTTGAGCTACAGAAGAAGGTGGAGAAGCACAAGCTTCTTAGGAACGATGAGAAGGAACTTGATGAAGCTAGGATCCAAGAACTACTTACTGAGATTGAAAGTATGAAGAAGATGTTGAAAAAGGTTGTTTTGATTGCTCTGGTCTACTTGTTGTTTGTGGTCATGTACTTTAAGCTGGTCTAGGTGATGTAGGATGCTAGGCCATGGTGTATAGGTGGTTTTTGGCTCATGATGCATATGGGGATGGTCTTTTGGGATGTTAGGTATTTGGAAATCAAGTTAAGGGTGTGGTAAGTGATGCAGGGTGTATAGGGTTGTTTGATGGTGTAATGGTGATATATGGAATGATGATCATTTTGACAATTTAGTATAGGCAATGTACTTTATCCCCATTACCGCATTATGTATGGTCATGTAACACCTTTTGTATGGACTAATTATATAATAAAAAGCATGGATTTCTATTCTATTTTAACATTTCTTTATGGGTTCCTTGATAGTACACTGCATGAATTGTTATATTGCATGAATTGTTATATGGTCCCCAAAGAATGCAAGTTATATGGTCCACTAATTATATAATATCATGCATGAGTTTCTATATGGTCCACAAACAATTTTTTAAGTAGCATGGTCCACATAACAATTCCAGGAGGGATAAGAAACAAGGGACCATCTAATGCATAAAAATGACACAAAGGACATTGGATCCCATAAGAGAATATATTCATAACCAAAGTGAGTGCAAAAAATTACATAACAGTTCCGACATAGAATCTTTAAGAGCAAACATCCTAACATGTTTTTACTACATAATAAAGGACACATCCCATGCAGTTCCCATGCGAAAACTATATTAAGTTGACATATTTTTCTGAAGTGTTCCCCTCTCCATTCTTTCCTGTAACTTGGGTTGCAAATTTTTTCATGATGATCCTTTCACTCTTTTTCCTCCTCTTAACCTGGGGAATTACAACATTACCCATCTCCCTTGTCACTTGTGTAGTCCCACTCTCCCTAGTACATTGTGTATCCCCACCTTCCATTCCTGTCCTACTTCCACTTGCCACTTCTGCAGTCCTTTTCTTCACATTTTCACCCTATTATACACACATAATAAACACTTAAATGAAACATATTGATTAAAAAAATAAAAAAAATAATAAATAAGAAGTTGTAGTTACCTTTGTTGTCTTAGTCCTCTTAACCTTACTACCATGTGTATCCCCACCTTCCATTCTTGTCCTACTTCCACTCGCCACTTCTGCAGTCCTTTTCTTCACATTTTCACCCTATTATACACACATAATAAACACTTAAATGAAACATACTTAATAATGAATAAAAAAAATAAGAAATGGGAAGTGGTAATTACCTTTGTAGTCTTACTCATGTTAACCATAATTGGTAACTTGTTTGGTCTTGACCTATCAATATTTGGACATGTCTTCTTATTATGTCCTTCCACTTTGCACAAACTACATGATATCTTCTTAACCTTCTTAGAAACTATATGGTTTCCACCCTTTTCACTCATATCTCTAACTCTGTTTGTTTTTGGCCTACCAGACATCCTTCTATTCTTGGGGGGGGGGGGGTGTAAAGGTGGAATGTAATTAGTTTCAGGCTACATCTTGCTTCCATTCATTGGACAATTTTAGTAGTGGTGGGTCATCATATACATTTCTCTACAAAAATAAGGATCCACGTATTTCTCCACATCTCTATTGAGGTAGCTAATGGAAGCCACATAATGAACACACCCATAACCATTAAGTTTCCACATCCTGCATAAATATATCATTTTGTCTAAATCAACATCATATGCCTTACTTCCTGACCTAGTCTCAAACTGGTTGAGTCCACTTGGCTATACCTCCCAAAACCTTTGATTAACCTTTAACTCATTCAACCTTAGTCTTATTTCAGGTGAAACATCACTTGACCATCCATTAAGTTTTGCTGTGAATAGCTTGTTCATCATATACATTCTTAATTCTTCAAGCATTGTGATGATAGGTTTCTTACTAGCTTCAACTATGACTGCATTGAAACTTTCACATCCTCCATTCTCCACACCAGAACAACATCTACCAACTTGATAGTAAGCTCTTGACTATGTTCTAGGGTTATTCTCTATTAAGTAGTTACTTGCCTCTGGAATCATAAGGAATATCCTTCATTATTTCCTTGAAAGATTATTCTGTTGTTGCATTACATGCAAACCAAACAAAATTAACAAACTGTGCCCCTGTAAACTTTTTACTGAAGTTAGCCACAATGTGCCTTGCACATTGCCTATGCTCAGCTTGTGGTAACAATTCCTTGACAGATTCCATAAAACCCTATGCCAACATACAAGTAGTTAGAAATGAATTGGGTAATATACTTTATGAAAGAGAAATAATAAAATGTTTTGATTACCTTGTGTTGGTCTGCCATAAGATTTAAACCTTGTCTCATACCAAGATTGAGATCATCACTTAACAATGACAGAAACCATTTCCAATTTTCCTTGTTTTCAACACATACCACTACCCAGTCAATTGGGTATATTTAGTCCCTAGCATCTCTCTCCCACAACACAAAGCAACTCACCAGTAACATACCCTTTCAAGAAGCAACCATCAATTCTAATCACCTTCATGCACCCTTCTAACCACCCCTTCTTTACACCATCAAAACAAACATAATACTTACTAAAGTGATTAGTTCCATCTGGCATTGTAAGTACGTCTATGCTGACTGTTGAACCAGGGTTGGATCTTCTAATTTCCTCTCTATAAGACCAGAGCTTAACATAATGCTCAATAAGAGTACCTTGAATAATATCCATAACATACTGTTTGGCCCTTCTGCATTGGCTAATACTGACTTCAATACCAAATTTCTTGATGACCTCCAATCTTAGTTGCCTAATTTTCAGTTTCTGTCTATGCAAAATCTCTTTGGTGTAGTGGCTACCAATCCATCGGTAATTGATAATTGAACCCAGTTTCTAGTTCCTAGCACATTGATGCACACTTTTTAAATATATGATTTGAAAACTGTGTTCTGTACTCATCCAACTTGCCCATAGCCTGAAAGTACAAACACCTTTACAACACAATAATAGAAGCCTCTTACTGTCATTCTTTTCGAACCATAGTTGATAACCATTCTTAACAACATAATTACATAACATGCTCTTAAGCTGTTTTGGATTCTCAAATCTCATGCCTAAAATTGGTACTTGCTTCTTCCAGTGTACCTGAGGATTAAAGATAGGATGTTGCTCAAGTACATCATTGTCCAGTTCCTCACTATTATCCATTTCTTCAACCTTTTTCTCTTCTCCACCTTCTGGGCATAACTTGTCAAGAAACTCATCGTCCTTGGTCTTGTTTAGAGGGGTACAATATTCCCAATTGATTTCATCTTCCAAACCAACATCAAACATATAGGCTGGTTCAGGATCGGGGATTCCTTGTGAATGTTCTTTGCCATCCCCCTGGATCACTGAACCACTTTCATCACTTTCTTCATCGAACCAGTCCTCAAATCCTTCCCCAATATGATCTAAATACAGGTCTATTGGCCTTTTAAGTGCTTGATAAGCAACATCGGTAAACACTTGATAATCTATTCGTTGGCTATTACCGTAAGACCATTTTCCATAGTTTGATCATGTGCCGAGTAATAAAGTTTCTCAAAAGGTTCTCGGACAAACCTTTCTAGAAATTAACAACACCCATGTAAATCCATTCCATAGAAATCATGATTAGTAAACATGAACGTATTACCTCCAATATATCTATGTGGGCGTCTTGTAAAAACACTGTTATAGTGCAAATGCACTTTCAAGAAAATAGGGTCTGGGTTCGCCATGAACTTTAACTACAAAAGAACCCTAGATGAAAGAAAACTTACTGAACTGGGAGAGAAAAGCCCTAGAATCTTGAACACTTCAACACGATTTTGATAAACAACTGGAGTAAATCCTTTTTTTGAACAGTTATACGAAGGCAAAGTTGACGTGTCATTGATGAGATGTCATTTAATTGAAGAAATCGAAAGTCTAAAGGCCATGTCACATTTAATTACTGGGTGACATACTCTCATGGTATAAATGACAAATAATTTGTCACTTTAGTGGGGTCAGAGGTACGAAAAATAGTTGAATGACATTTTAAAACCAAATTGAAAACATTATTGTGCTTCTATATCAATAACCCTTTAATATTCTTAAGTTTTTTTTATACTTTTTCAATTTTTAATGTATTAGGTGTATCTGTATTTGTAGAAGCTTTAATTTTCATGCTTATCTTAATTGTTAGTTTAGTTTATGCATGGCTAAAGGGTGCATTGGTGGATCATTGGCTCCAAGGTACCATTTTTTTTAATATACTCCATCTTACATACTACATTTCAGTTTATTTTGACTTTTCTCATTAGAATTTTATTTTACTTTCCAGCTTTTTCTAAATATTACATTTAATCTTTTTAAGTTTTCTATACTTTTTCTTCTTTTAAATAAGAAAAATGTCGAATAATACACAAGTCAAACATACAAAAAATTATAATAATCAAAATTATAATAATACACAAGGAAAACATACAAAAAATTATGATAATCAAAATTTTACATTTTATAAATGTTTTAAAATTTTCTTACAAGTTGTTAACTTTTTTTTTTTTTTTACATTTTCACACAATTGTTTTTATAACTTTCATACAATTTTTTTATAACTTTCATACAATTATTTATAAACTTTCTTTTACAACATTTTTAAAGTGTTTCATAGATTTTGTATGACAATTTAATACTTTTTATAACATCTTAAAATACTTTCATTAAATACTAGTTTAAAATGTTGTATTAAAAATAAAAGGTTTATAAACTTCTAATTGAAAAGTATTAAAAAGTTGTAATAATTTTAAAACATTTACATTATATAGATTTTTTTGTTTATTATTTGCTACATATTTTCTTTTTATTTGTTTAAAAGACCCTCTACACTTATTTTTATATATTTAATATATTTAATTTATTGTTAGATATTAGTTACTTTAAAAATATTATATATGCTTAAAAACAAAAGAAAAAAAAACATATTTCACAAAACAAATATTTATTAATTAAAAAGTAAAATTTAGAATTAATCAATATTTAATTAATATTTAGGACATTATGAATACTTTAAAAATAACGTTTAAAAAAATAATACAAATAAATATGAAAAATAAAATCGCTATTAAAAGTGGAGAAAATGACTTATCAGGTAGACATTAGTTTGTTATGTGGGAAGCTTTGAATCTAAGAATGAAAAGAAAGGAAGTTATTGATTTATAAGATTCAAAGTTTGAGAAAGAAGCGCTAGGAACAAAATTGGGCGACGTTTTAAACCAACTGAACATCATGTTGTTTGTGACTCCATCTTACGAAATACATATATATCTATATATTATTTATAGAAAAATTATAATTTTATAAATTAGGTTCGGTTCGGTTTTTACTTTTCCTAAAACCGAAACCGAACCCAATATTTCGGTTTTGTAAAAAATTCAAACCCAAACCGTTGGTTTCTTGTTCGGTTTCAGTTTTGTCGGTTTTTGTCGTTTTTTCGGTTTCTGGGTTCAGTTTTCCTCACCCCTACCGGTGACAATGGTAATATGTGAACATATATAACAAATTAAAATGTCAAATGTTTATAAAAAAATTACCTAAATGTAAATAAAACAAGAAAGATGATTACCTTGATAAATCATTTTCCCAAATATTAATCATATAAAATCTTTGAGAAAATAGACCTCCGACGGCAAATAGTGTCGTTGGAAAATAATATAGTCTGCAAAATTGTTCACCGAAATTCAATGTCGCCGGAGTCCTTCTTATTACGGTCGCCGGTCATTAGTATATCTGTAATTTTATCTTCAAATTATCGCCCTCTAACTCTAAACTATCACAAATTACTTCATAAGTTCGTACTTCTAGATCTGTTTATGTAAGCGAGAAAAAGAAAGAAAAAAAAATGTGGTTTTGTATGTCATTGTCTTAGTTTATGTCAATTTGGGCCGTGCCCAACAACCACGGGGGTTGAGTATGTAATTTGCAACATAAAAACGATTTTAGAAAGGAAAAAAAAGACACAAAACTGTCTTTTGTTTTTCAAAAAATTAGCCCTCCTGAAAAATTGAATAAATGGCAAAAACCGAAAGATTATTATATTCAACTTTGTCAAGATCGAGATCCTACCTAGGATCGTTTTTAGGTTTCTAAGTTCGAGATTAGGATCCTAAGATCCTACAAAATAAAACATAATTTTAATTTAAAATTTTAAAACATAAAAAATATTTCAAACATTCAATTTTTCGTTTAAAAATGATCAAAACTTCAAAATATTAGTTATAAGTTATAACACAAAATGATAAACGGTAAATTGGTAGATAAGAGAAGAGATAAAGTGGTAAAAGAAATTTCATTGCCAAAAAAAATAAAAAATAAATAAATAACAAAAAAAAATCAAGGGAATATAGGACCGGATCAGATCCCTATCTTACGATCCAACATACGATCTTACGATCCTAACTGCG